AAAAAAAAAAAAAAAAAAAGCACCACAAAACAAACCCTGCTTTACTGAAGAAATTCGCAGTTCCTATTCTCCTGGTGTTGCAAAGCTGTGAAAGAGCAAGCTCAATAAACAAGTACTAGCTAACAAGCTTTTGTTTGTATGTTATGCAAACAGAGTAATTAAGTGCTGGAGACATCTTAAAATAATACACAGGGGACAAAAACAGAAGTGACCAATACAAAAAGATGTATCACTTGTCAGGATTCACACACATAAAAAACCCCTAGAGATGGGTATTCCCATACTATCATGGGTATTCCAGAGATATGATGGCTTTAAGGGAGATGCTAGAATAGCAACACTTTCATCCTCACAGCAGGAAAACCAAGGGCCCCCCAGCTGTTTGTATCCTGGCAGAGTGCTATAAGAACAGCAGATCATTCAGGAAACATTACTATCAGAACGCTATCAGAAGCAGCTGTAGCAGCCTTGATTTATAGCAGCACTCATTATTCCAGAAGCACAGAAGTAACAGACCTACCAGGAGTCTCAAGTTTTCCAGGACATAATTACTCTAGAATGACAGTAGAACTGCAACACCACAGCAAGTTCTAACAGATAGAAATACAAGACCTACAGTAGAAGTTAGAGTAGTACACTGGAAAAAACTTCAGGATAACTGTCTGCCCTAAATAAAACTAACTAGGGACTAAAGAATTTGCAACTTACAAACACACCATACTCAGCCTGAGAAGGACCTTTGGATGCTGTCCAGTCAAACCTCACCCTTAAAGCAGTTTTCTCCAAGCAATCCAGTTCATGTGTCCTGTGTTTTGAGGTTGACAATTCCATGCCCAATCTAGGCAACCTGCCCTGGGGTACTCTGATGGTGAAGATCTTTCTCCCTTGTCATGACTTGATGCTTTCAAAAATAATAAATCAAAAACTAAGTTCTCATCGACTACTGCGTGCACGAACAAGCATGTCAACAATCAAGAAGTGCTCTCAGGACAGCATTTTCAAACACCTAAGAAGTAGTACTTTTCCATGTAGAGGTTTTTGCGCTCACACCTATTTGCTACACACATTTACTATAGTAATGCAAATCAATCAACTTTAAGTGTTCGTTCTGGGATAAACGCTGGTAAGCAAAGACAGACATTTTCCTCCAGTAATCTTCCATATTATGCTATACAGTAGCTCCCTCATTCAGGACATTCCTTTGTGAAAGAAATTGGATATAACAACTCTGACTTCTCAAAGATTCTCCCTGTACAGCACAAATACATTTGTGTTGGGGACATTGAACTCTGCTACTACCCAAGGGATTCCTAACCAGAAGAGGACTGTAAACTTTATTTTTAGTTCTTAATTACCAGGGAGGCAGGGGACAAGGTGGGGGACTACAAAGCTCCCTGCCAGGGGAGTGTGGAACAACTGGGAGAAAACACAACAGGTACCATCTAAACTCCTGAAGTTGTTGCTGAAAGGCTTTCTTTGCTTATGGCTCATGTGTTCAGACGTACACATGTCCACCTGTACAGATGATAAACTAGAACTCAGTTTGCTTGGACACAGACATCCAAAGAATAAAAGCTACAGACTGACTGAACAATGAGATGATTTGTTTCCTTTTTTTTTTTTTTTTTTAAGTTTTGGGACTTTAAGTGTTCCAGTAATAACACTGCTTATTCTTAATGATTTGTAGAGAATTTTATTTTGTCCTTGTTCAAGAGTAGTATGGCTTTAACTGTAGTAGATAAGCTGCTTTCTGGAGAGGCCAAGTGACACTTAGAAGCTCTTCAGTGTAATTGCGACTAGCTTTAACCTTTTGAGTATTCCTTTAACAAGCATCCTAAGGTTGGTGGAACTGCTGTGTTACCTAACACAAAGCTTTCAAATTAAACATTTTTCTGGCAACGCAAGCTTAGTGCTACTGTCTATTAAGTTGCCCTACGTACACTGTGCCATGCAACTATGTAATGAGATTGTTTACTAATAACCAAGAGAAGACAGCAACTTTTTCCCTCTTATCAATAAAGGTAACACATCTTTACCTCATCATATTAAAGGAATAGCTACCTTTTAGGCAAAATACAGACCAATGTGATTCAGAACAAGCTCAGAGGTGTGTGGAAAGAATACCTAAATCCTTCTTTCTCTATCCCACCTCAACACTGGCCCCTAGGAACTATAAGGTCAGCCTAACAGTATTACCTGACTTGTAACAAAGCATAATATTAAGCAAACCCCATCCAATAGCATACAGATTTAGTGTGATTGCATCTAAAGCTAGCCCAGCTCTTACTGGCCAAGGTACTGACCTTCCCTGCAGAACTGTTACAAATGCCACTTGAATCTTTCGGAGTATTAACACTACACGAACCCTCTGAATGCAGGAGCCTGCTTACAACACAGCCCTTACCTAATATGCCTTTATTAAAATCCTAGAAGCTTCACACAAGGAATCTCTTCTTTGGTGGCAACAGAAGGATCACGGCCCCCTCTAGCCCCAGAATACCCAGGCAGTAGAGAACAAGACAAAGCTGAAGCAGTGTGGCACAGGTAGGATCAGTGCAGAGGTACCAGTGTTTATAAAACAGGCTAACCACCGGTTCAGAAAGGGGCACGGTGAGATTTTAATAGGAATGCTCTAATAAAAACAAGAGGAGTCATTGGAGCCAACTCTGTTTAATTGTATTCCCACTTCTGCAGTTCAAGAAACAATATACACACCATGGTTTAAAGCTCACATCTAAGAGTTCCCTGAGGTTAAAAAAAAAATAAATCAAATCAATTAACACAAGCTCTCAGCTCAGTCATCTCTGGGTAGGCAAGGATGAGTTTCATCCCATTTTGTAGATTAAGCATCCTTGAGGCAGTCAAGACAGACATTAACTCATCTGTTCCTTACAGAAAAGAAAGTCTTGAGAAATCCAACCACCTCTCAAAAAAGTAGCAGTGTCTAGAAGAACTTGTGATGACTGCAGTTGCTTTTAAAACATTATTTAATTTCCTTCAGTTTAAGAGAAAGTAAATTTAAGGCCAAGAGTCTTAATACCTCTGCTGAAGAGCCCACCCTGAATAAGAGTCCAGACAAGTTACTTAATTCTGTGGCAAGTATTCCCTCCCTCTTCCATATTGCTCTTTACTTGCTGGAAAGTAAACTGTGCCTAAACAACATAATTTATCCTCCTCCAACAGAAAAGAAGCAATCCAGTCAGTCTGTGTAATTTTAATCTGTCATTTTACCCTCAAAGTGAATGACACCACATTGAACTTGGTGTGGCAAGTGTCAAACTGAAAAACAAACAAAACAAAAAAAAAGCGCCACACAAAACAAAAACTTCTGAAAGATTTTGTCAGTGATTTCTTGTGGTTATAGGTCATCCTGCTTTAAAAAGAAGAAAAAAATCAACCACAAAAAACATACCAAAAAGAAAACTGAAAACAAAACAGGAAAAAAAAATGAAAAAAAGAAAAAAAAACCCACACAAAAAATCCCAACTCAAAAAACCCAGGTGCAAAAACTTCTTCAGGCAGTCTTTCATCTTTAAGAAGGTAGAAGCAATTACCTGCTTCATCTGCTTTAAAAGATAAAGCCATTGACTTAACTCCGCATTTGTTTTAGAATAGGTAAAACAAAGCCATATGCATAATAGGAGCTTTGTGGTGCTACTGAAAGACACTCTTCAGACCACGAAACAGAGGTTACACCAGCAGACAGGCTGGCCACATGAAGCACAGCAAGATTTACAAATCAAGCCACAGTTGTTACTAAAAAACTGTTTTGATTTAGACTTCTGAAGATCTGTACTTGGCCAGAGGACTAACCAAACCATGCCACCCTCAATATAGTAAATCTAACCCTATGCTTACCAACTATTTCAGCCTTCTCTTGTTTTACCTGTTTAGATTATAAACTTCTCCAGGTTAACTAAGGCCTCCTGCTGTAGTGAAACCTGCACTGTTGTGTCATTCTTGGCTGGTCCCTTGAAACTGAGCACTTCAAGGTAGTTTACAAATAGCTTCATAAACACCAAACTTAAGCATCAGTTTGCTATTTTCCACCCACTCCTCAGCCTAAACAGTTAAACAGCTCAGAACAGTTAACAAAGGATTGGTTTACCTAATGCCAAGATTCAGAGCCTATGACTGAATAACTAATGTATTTCAAACCAGACTGCACTTTTACATCCCTTTTTACTTCACCTGCATTATGACT